ATATGCCAGGCAATTGCTCACCATTAAATTGAAATCAGTTTCCAAAACCGAGAGTGAATGGTACTCATGCTTTTCTAATTTTGCCTGTAATGAAAAATATGACATAATTATAGATTATATTTTGATCAGGACATGAAATATATTTTAACAAGTATGAACATATAAAATAAACAAATAATGTAAAATAATTACCTGCATAGTAGAGAGATCCATAGGATGTGACACTATTTCGAGATAATCTGGGACTTCCTTGATATTAACTGGTTGTCCAAATACATCATTTGTATCTTTCGCCTTTATAGCTTCTAACAATGTACGTAAAACACTTTCAAATGGTCGCAATTCAAGCCATAAACACTTTTCCTTTCTGCAATCAATTTTTCTTAAAATTAATATTTAAAAAGAAATATATTTTATGCGCATATAAATTGGCATTATAAAACTATAAAGAATTTATTAATATTTTTTTAACAATTTGCAGATTTATTTTTCTATCTTACTAGTTAATTCTTACTAGTTAATTCTTAAAAAAATGTATTAACCCTTAAGTATTGAGGTAAAAAGTAGTGACACTTTTATTGAGGTTGGTCCCTGAGACATTGATTCAAAAAAACTGAAATAAAAACACAGGAATTTTATAAATCTATGTTTTATTAATTAAACCGTCATAAATCAGTCTTTATGAAAGTACTTTAACAAAAAGAGATATAGCGTTTTGTTTTCTTCACGTGGTCTCACGGACCAATCTCAGTATTTGAGAGTTAATGCCAATTTTTATCAATAAAACCGATGTCTACATTATCCATAATGCATTGTAACTGTACTAACACTTTGAATAATTCTTTTTTTAATTTTTCACGCTTCCGTACTAATTCACATAGTAATCGTGCACGTTCCAAATCTTGACGTAAACACTGCCAATATTTAAGATGACGGTACATTTCTCCTCGCAATTCACCATCATGTGTCGGCGAAGAGGGATGTTCTCCAAGCGGAGGTGGTCTAGATTGTGGATGAGAACTTTGCAATCTTCTAAGAAGTGGAACACCGTTTCTATATTGCCGTTTCAGTGTCCAATAAGCAATGAGACGTTGTATTAATTGACTTTTTTTTGGTATCCCTTCCGCTAAACTAATTAAATCAAATAACAAGTATAAATCCAACAATTTTCATTAAAATAGTTTTATTATACAGAGTATGTTCAAATTGTGTCTACTGTAATTATTATCGTATATAAATCAAAATAAAATTGTAATATTACTTAGCAATTTCCCTGATTCTCTCGGGTGGTATAGTTGGAATGGAAATAACAGGCGCTGATGTGCTCTTCTTGTTAGCTATCGCTCTTCTTCGTGCATCCACAGGATTCGTGGAAGGTTGATAATCGGTAGGTGTATGTGTTTCACAGAAAGCTGTTTTTTGTACCAACATTGGTTCACCATTAGTAGGCTGTACCGTTCTCATACGCATGCATAGACCAGCTTGCTGAGCACAAGTTACATGGAACGCTGCGTAACAATTGCTCTTGTGACACTGAATGCATGCGCCAGCTCCTTTGCGCTTGCATATGTAGCACGTAAGCTTCCAACGAGCTTGTGGTATACTCTCTATACTGTCGATGGGTTCCAGAAATACAGTATTAGCAAATCTTACTTCTGGTATCCATAGAGCGCATACTACATGTGCCCACGTCGCAGGACGATCAGTCTGTTTGAAAGCACCGCCTCTGTTCGGACAGAGGACGCAATCTACTGCCCTGGATGGGCTTTGTAAGCATCTTCTACACAACCATTGTCCTTCAGGTATATACGGTACACCATAACAATCTTGATGAACAGCAAGATTACACATATCACAGAACAGGATTGCGTTACTATTCTGACATTCTCCGTCCATACAAATGCAACAGACTGCATCTTCATCTGCAGCAGTACCTCCTCCGCCATTAGTTTGTTGCTGGAAATACGACTCTTTCTCTAATCTGTCCATCAACAGCTCAAATGTATC